CGTTTTTCGTCTTATGCGCGCGTGCAATCGTAAAACTATAGTAAGCCACCTTAAGGGTTTATCACAATGTTAGGGGGTAAAATCAAAGACGAGAATTTCCAACTGTAGTATACAGCCACGTTTGAGTGTCAATACAACTGATAAGGATCTTTATTTCTTTTAACTCCCAGGCTTTGATGCGTAGTTGTCTCCCTCAAGGCAACCTATCAGTCGAGGAGGAATTTGAAATTTTTGGTGAGCAAGCTAGTTTTCCCAGCCAAAAATGACGCTTAAACATACAGTGTACTGTAATCCTGGTCTCCTCAGCAGTTGCAAGTAAAGATATATTTTTTCAAAATGTCTCTAATTTTAGCTTTTTAGAGCAAATACTTTATATGAATTGTCTTTGGTGAATTTTGTTTTTAGGTGAGGGAGAATTTCCTAGGATTATTTTAAGTTGTCCACTGTCATTACCTATTCGGCAGAAGAAACATTAGAAAAATTTGATTGCGTAAACTTGATTGAGGACGACTGGTTGTGTTTTTGGTTTCTTTTTCTTTTAGAGGCTATCGGAAGTAACACATGTTCACTGCTGAACTGTAAAGACTACTGGAAACGTCCTAACAATGATGTGAGTGGAGCTTAGCAAGAGAGCAAAAAAATATATATTTTCTGGTTGTTAAAAGCTCACACCAACGGTTTTCTCGAAGCAGAACAAACGCGGTAAATTTTTGTTTTTCCTCAATCGGTCAGCTGGCTCGTTTTCCCCCTTTAGCGCAGGTCTCATGTTTTTTTGTTTCACGCTCTGATTGGTCCATAGTGTTATTATGATCACCATGATTGGCCAGATTTGAGACATCGAAGTCAACATCGTTAACGTTGTGCCATGCATTTATAACGCCCCGTGCACACCACGCCGGAGGAATTTGAATCAAATGTTTTCCGTCCACACTACGTCGTTGGAATTTAAAAGCGCAACTTACAATTATCGGCCATTTTGGATTTGTGTTTGAAAAAAGTCGGCCAGGGAAATCACGTGATTATCATGAGGTCATCGTTATAAAAAAGCTCCATTTTCAAAATGTTTTCCGTCCACGCGAAAACGAAAAACCGGCGTTGTCAATTTCCTCCGGTTTGAAGAGCGTTTTCGAAAAGCCCCGGTTTCGTGACGGATTAGGGTGGACGGTAGGCCTAACTGTAGAAATAAAGCTGCGTTTTCAGATTTCTACGGCATAGTATGGACGCTGCTTCAGAAGTAAACCGAAACCAAATCGTAACTCGCTTGCACACGTTTTCCCGCGCTCCTCGTCAGCTACATGTATTCGCTTGGAGTTTTGATTGGCTCACAAGAGTGATTTACAATACTTCATTTGGTTTTGGTTGACGATACTCAATTGAAAACCGGTATATGTTCTTGGCATATTTTTACTTTTGCTTTTGTACAGCCATTATTACAACACAGCACTACGCTGAGGAAACGCACGGCTTGTTGTTGTAGGTCTTTGTAGAAATTCCTGTACACGCATTATTGCATGTGACTGTATGAAGTTTTGTCCTATAAGTACCCGAATTCTCTCTTTCAGATTGCTGCCTGGAAAATCGTCCTTTATGCTATAGTGTCGCCATTTTTCTTCATGGGTCTCATTGTCTATTACTATGCTATCTGGGATTACTATTAGTAAGTGTATGTTGTTATTTTCTATAGTCCAATTAAAGACTGAAGGATTAGCCCGACATAACCTTAAGAAACAGTCGCAGTATTTTTCCTACATATTTCCCCAGTTTCCAGACAGAAGCGCTAATCACTCCTGTGATTCAGAGCAATGTCCGATGTGTGTTTTCGACCAAGTACCTGCTACTCTTTCTTCGTTGTTCTTGTATGACATAAGTAGTAATCTTTTCACCAGAAATTGTCATGGTTAAAAAATTCTCGAAATGGTCAAGACATTTCTCGGAACGTTGCTCAAGTTTCAATTGCGGCGATGATTGCCTCGGCTGTCGCTGAAAAGGACGAAATATGCCGCGACTGTTGTTCGAATTATGGTTATGATTTGCCATTTTTTAAAAACAAAATAAAGGAAGAGTTTTAGGTAGAGGGTTTTCGAAAAGCTCATTTTTCTGATCGTAGCTTAAGTCAAATGATTTTCATCAGCAGTCTTCGCCCACTTGCGTAATTCTAACTTTCATTGTTTTTTTTTCAGTGGAGATTATCCTTTGGACATCAACAAGTTACGCGATGAAGAGGAAGAGAGTGTTTCAACGTTCCGAAATTACAGAGGCACTTCATCACATCTCAGGAAAAGATATGGAGGACGCCCTCTAATGTACTAATACAGCTAGCAGAGGTCAAATGAGAAACTCTTCCCCCTCAAGGAGCGCATGCGCAGATAGTGCTGTTGTGTTCAGCACTAGATTGTGCAGGAAAACACCTTTTGCAAAATCTCTTCGTGTCTAGAAGTATTCACTGACGATAAGTAACATGCAGCTGAGGAAATGAACCTTTGTGTTGAGAGACAGCTCGTTCGTACAGTTTCGCCAGCAAACTTCATTTCCAGTAGGCCCTTTAGGGTTTCTTTCTGAAGGATCAAACGACTAAAGAGTGGAATAGTCGCGTTTATTCTTACAATGGACAAAACATCACTTCCACTCTACATTTGCATTTTTATATGGAAAACAGAGTGCGACACATTTATACTGTGTTTGACTGAGGGCGAAGACGCGTCAACTTCATTACCAGGTTACTAAACAGTTCAGACAGACAGACAGAAAATGAAATTAAAATTAAATTAAACTTCGTTCTAAGTATTTACAGAATTCGTGGGAAAAATTAAATTGAGAGTTCCTTATGTGGTAGAGAAACAAGCTCTCTGGTTGTGTAGAGAACAAGGGCATATCGAGCGAGGCAAACGCGGTAACTCGCAAGGGAACGAGAACTAGAACACGCTCGGCTTTCCGCAAGATTGTTTTCGGCTCATACCCCATATCAAGCTTTAACTATTGTTATGGTTTTTTAAGACAATGAACCTATTCTTGAGCCGCCCAAGGGATGTTTCTATCCGCTACGGCGAAATTACACTCGGCTTAAATCGGATCCAATCGGGAAATTGTCGGTGATGACATTTTATTCCCAACAGTTGTCTACTTGGAAAAACATAGACCAACTGGGGGCTAGACAGCAATTGTCAAGGGAAACAGTGTTGTTGTGCATTGCATTTAAGTCGCGTGGACTGGTTTATGTTTTTTGTTTAATAAGCAAGAGAGATTTTCTCTTGACGGCTTCACTTCATTTCAGGAGCAAGTAAAGCCGTCAGTGAAAACATACTTGGAATTCAGCTTGTAGCATTACCGTAATGATTCGATTTAGCGCCTTCCTTCCAATAAGCGCCCCCTTACGAATAAGCGCCCCCTTCGAACGTATTTTTATTGATAATCGCTTCTATTCTAATAAGCGACCCATTCCAATAAGCGCCTCCATTCTAATAAGCGCCAATATTCGAATATTTAAATATTACAGCGCCGTCAGAGTACGTATCAACGGAGGTTCATATTCCTTAATTACTCACATACGTAATGCCGCATTACAAAAACAGTGATCTTCGTCTGAGTTCCTCAACTTTAATGTCCATGCGTGTGCATAATTCCTTCAAACTTTAACTGTACATTTACCGTAAATTTGTTACAGTTTCTGTTATCGTTCCTTTTTTTTAATAAATACCGTATAAAGATTTGTTTAGAGCATTCGGTTGTTTCTCAAAAAAGAAAAAAAGCGCCTTGTCCCGAATAAACGCTATTTGACGAACAAGCGCGCCGGGCGCTAAATCGAATCATTACGGCAACGCAAAGGTCGTGGGTTCGAATCCCGTTCAAAGCCCGTTCAAAGCTTGAAAATTTTTTCAGGTCTTTTTTCCAGTAGTGTTATGGCTGCATTCGCATCTATCAGTACGTCTTATTCAACTGTCACTGTTGGACATCTATTACCATTACGGTAGTTTGTTTTTTCGTTCATGCTTTTACCGCAAGCGGTCGCGAATAACTGAAAATCCTAGTCCGGTTTGAAAAACTGGACTAGGATTTTCAGCCCGGGCTGAATCCTTCTTCATGTAATCGCCAATTTGATTTCATGAGAATTTGTTTCAGAAGCCGGGCTAGGATTTTCAGCCCGGGCAAACGGATTGAAAAGTCTGAAAAAATCCCATGTAATCGAA